ATATATATAGCATACCAGTGTTTTTTTGTTTTCTACCTTATTTTCTTACAGGTGAGATATAGATCATTGAAAAATTGATATACTTCCTTTGTTTCAAGTTTATCATCAATGGCAGGAACTCTCAGTACGGTATCAAGAGATGTCAGGTGTGGCTGAAATGCAAGAGTGTTTAAAATCATCTTTAATTTTAAAAAATTAAATGGCAGAATAGATATGAAAGTTTTTAAAAACAGTTCGGTGTGAAATAAAATTTTATCTAACTTCAGTGGTTAATTCGATCTTTTTTTACTCATCTCAGCAATATTTTCTTTGAGCTATTCTTTTCATGTGTCTTCTAATACCTCCTTCTTTCTTCTTATCCCACACTTTTTGTTCTTCTCAGTCTCTATTGCTAGAACATTGTCGACGTTGGACCACTTGAGTCCTAGACCTTTTTTCAATCTACCACTCCCTGGCTGATATCAAGTCCCAAGGCCATAAGTACTATCTGATCATACTTCCACCCCTGATTTCTTCTGAATTCTAGGCTCATAAATCCAGCTGCCTTTTTGGCATCTCCATATGGACGTTCAAAACATAACTCTGAATTCCCTTCCCTATAACCTGCTCTGTACTCCTACAGTATCAGTCAGCTTTCTGTTGTGAAAAAAAAAAACCTAGATAAACAACCCTGTGAAAGAAAGGTTTATTGTGCCTCAATATTATTGTGACTCAAAATGTTAGAAGTTTCAGTCCATGGTCACATAGCCTTATTCCTTTGGGCCTGTGGTAGCACAGTAGTACATCTTGGTGATAGCGTGTGGTAGAGGGGTCTGTTTACTTGTGGTGTCCAAGGGCACATCCTCTGTAACTAAGCCCCACCTCTGAGGGTCCAGCGCCTTTCAGTTGTGCCATGGACTGGAGACCAATCCTTTACTACATGGGCCTGAGGGTGCCATTCCCCATCCAGGAGCACTCGCTTCCATTCCTGTCCTTTTCTTCTAGCGATGGTAACTCCATTCTGTAGTTAAGTAGGGCTAAACTCTTAAATCTTCTTTTTCTCTCACACCCCATGTTCACCCCCTTAGCACATCCTGTTGGCTTTACCATCTGTCCTAGCACAGGCTGCTCTTAAATAAGATCATAAACCGTGTTGCCTAAACAGCAGACATCTATCTCCTGCAGTTTTGGAGGGTGGAAGTTCAAGATCAGGACTCTTAGAGAGAGTTCTGTTCCTACTCACAGAGTTCAGCTTCTTGCTTGATCTTTATATGGTAGAAAGATGACCAGCCATCATTCTGACTTCTGCTTAGAGGGACACTAATCTCGTGACCTAATTAATTACCTTCCACAGGCCACCTCTCAATACCATCACACTGGAATTAGAGTTTCAAATTTAGGAATTTGAAGGGACACAAATAATCACTCCATTTCAGTCTGGATAGAAGCAGAAGCCAAACACATCTCACCACCTTCCCACCTTCAACTCTCCTGTCCTCAGCCAGGCTACCAAGCCTTCTGCCCACTCCCCCATCACAGTTTATTCTCTGTGCATTTAAAAAAAGCTGATTCTTGTTGCTATAAATGAAATCGCTGACTCAGAATACTTCCCAGAGCCTTGCTGTGGCCCATGACGTGTATGATGTTGCTGTGTATCTTACACTCCTGTGCTGCTCAGTTACTTCGGCGCCCCCTCCACGGTTCCCATGGTTCCAGAACAAGCTGCCCACCTCTGACTCACAGAATCCGCACTGCCTCAGTACTTCCTGTCTCCGAGCCCTCTACCCACAGACGGCTAAATGGCCCGTCCATTTGGTCTCCTCACTTCTTCACTAGTCCCTGCCCTTTGTCAGGTCAGTAGAGAGACTTTTCGTGTTCCGTGGATTGAAAAGTCGTCCCTCTCTGTTCCCTCCTTTTGTTGTCTTTCTTTCCTTAGTGACAGTGGCCACCTGACAGATTACCTGTGTGTGATTAAAGTGATGGGAAATTTAAAAATGACTTTTTAGGACCTATCCAAATTTGTTATAAAACAATTAATGAAAAGAAAGGGAAGGAAGAGGAGGAAGAAGAAGAATGCAAGGAGATAAGAAAATAGAAAGAGAGAAAGGAAGAAAGAGAATCCCAAAGGTGCCTCAGATTCTAGTCTTAGTGTATCTTATTTGCTGTTGTCTCCAGCCCACCCTTTTCTGGGATGGACCAAATGATGACCTACAATTTAATTCTCAAAGGGATTGAGAAAATGGATTTTCCGAGAAAGATAGCAAGAAGACCTGAGGATTTGATTCGGAGGCTTTGCAGGTGAGGATGACAATTAGTAACCCTTTGTTTTGGACACACTGTGGTCCAGGTTCTGTTGCTGTACATTTTAAAACCAGATATGTGTTTACTATGTTTTTCTATGTAGTCACGTTATATTTAAATAATGGCATTTTCTGTTTTGTGTTATAAGGAGCTTGAGTTTACCTCAAGGTTACACAATCGCAATGCCTACTCCAACTTTAAAGAGATGTACGTTTTACAGATTATCTTCAAGAATTATCCTTATCTGTTCTAGGGGGAAAACCACAGGTTAAAACTATTATTTTGAGAGAAAGTCAGTAGCAATGATAAAATGTTACTGAATGCCCCCTTTCAGTCTTTTTTTAAATTATTTTTCAGGTATTATATTACTCATATTTCTTCTTACTACAAAAATTCATGTACCAGAAAATAGGAGACTTCCAGATTCTTTGCTAAGCTTTATTTTGTTGCTGCTCCCCCGCCCCAGATATAAGCTTTTTATAAATAATTAAAATTTAGTAAATTTAGAATACAAATCCTAGCTGTGGGGAGCCTTTAGGAATTCCCTCATGCTTCTAAAATTTCAGCCTAGACACGAATGCGTCTGTATAGCTCTGCCTAGTTTTCTCAACAGTTAGCAAGCAGTACATATGAAGCATTTATTCGTAGCTCATTTAAAGATGTGGGACTCTTTTTCAACTCTCTATACTCAGCTTTCTGATTTACATTAGGAACTGGATGAATGTTAAATGAGTGAATTAATAAATAAACGTTATGTTTTAATTTAAAATTCACTCAAGTATAATACCCCTTTAAAAATTATTATTTCAGGCAAAATCCAACAGAGAGACTGGGAAATCTGAAGAATGGAATCAATGACATTAAGAAGCACAGGTATATAGTTACTTCTTTGTCCAGAAAACTTCAGAAATTTAGAGAATTGTGTGGTGGTCATGACAGCAGCTGTAAGTGAGCAATGTGCTTCTCTCTGGAGACTTTCAATTTTTCTTCTCTAGTGCTTTGAGTTTTCTGTTTGATGTTTTACTCGATGTGTTTACTGTAATCAATGCCAAAAGTCATTTCTCTAATGCTGGAAATTCTTTTCAAGAATGAGTAAAGTTATAAAACAGTTATAAAAATCACATTTTCAAGTCAAAGCACTTTATTCCACGCTACCTTTATTGTTTTATTATCCACTCGAATTCCATGAAGGAATTGGAATTTTGGCATTCAAATTTTAAATCAAGTAGGATACAATCATTGCTGTCATATTCCAGAGAACAGTTCACCTGAATCAACTGTTAAATGGCCCCAGCCTACGATTTCTGACTTTATGGTGGTGTGAATGCATCACAAACTGTATGTTGAATTTTGAATTTTGATCTTTTCTAAGACTAAAATTAATTACAAGATAATCTCTGAAGGTTCTGGGCAGCAGTGAGCTCCCAGCCAGCCACTGCATCATGAGAGCAAACAACCTGTGGTCTCCCGTGCACTCTGTGGCCAAGTCCTGCTACTCAGAAGCTTGGGCATATTCTGATTTAGAGTCCAGTATTTTCAACTTAGAATGTGTTCACTGGTCCATGACTTTATCACAAGTCATCTGCAACCTGTGTCAGTTTTATTTAAAATTTATGTCTTTTAAAATTTAATTTATTTGAATAGGTGACGTGCATTGATTTATACAAAATTTACAGCGGTGATTTATCAGTATGCAGTAACCTCTCATGCCCCTTTCCAGTTCTGTGAATTTCTGAATACAGGCTTTAGAACCACTCCCTTAAGACATTCTCTCTGATTCGACCAAGTATTCAAATATGGCTCTTCTTCCCTTCAAGAGTTCTGTTTTTCAAGTCAGTGCTTGCCTAAGTCCTCAAGAAGCTTTGATTTTTCCCCCAACAGTATTGAAAACCTTTGAATACACTGACGTGATCACATTTAGAAACGAAAAGACCCCTCAACATTTTATTGCACTACAGATTCTTTGTGTGTGTGTGTGTGTGTGTGTGTGTGCCTGGACGGAGTCAGGGCCATGCAGGTGCTAACCATGCACTCTACCTCTGAAGTCCCCCCAGGCCCCTACTGATGTCTTCACAGAGGTCTTAGGGCTACATCAGCATGGTGTGAGAATAAAGGGAGAGATGTGGCTGCCAAATAGATACACGACTTATTTTCCTTAGTAGTAGCAGTGCAGCTTTAAAAAAAATTCCCTGAGTTGCCAACTCCGCTCTGATGCATTCATGAACTTGAAGTAAAGCTATGCATTCAACATTGTAAATGCCTGTGGAGCGCTGCTTCAAGGCTGTATTATTAAGACAGGGAGGGAGGCAGAGAAAACAGAAAAGAAGGAGAGATAAGACAGACACATCTGTGCAGTTTATAGACATCAAAACGCTGGTTGTATTTTAATGTTCTTTGTCACCCTCTGGATTGCCTTCAATTGTAAAGCTCATTATTTGTCTTAGATTCCAATTTATCTTCCTCTTGCACAACATGCCGTTATCACCGCTTCTATTCTCATTACCAGATGACATATAAACACACCATTTGTATCGAGGAAACAAGTGTCCCGTCAATTAAACTGATTCTTCCAATATGTATCCCTTTTTCTCTCATTAAGAAGTCTGTGTGTTTTGCTCTGGGGTAGTTGGGAAACAGAAGTGATATAATTGTGACGGCTCAAGCTTTATCTTTTGTTTCTTATTTACCTGAGGCTCATTTAAATGTAGCTGTCAGACTGTGATGGGATGCATGTGCATAAGGGTGCAAAAGAGGTTCCTTACCAGGTCATGGGAATAAACAATTTTGAATTTCCATCCCAGTAAGAATTAATTTGCTTATTCTTCTTAATAATTCATCTTGGGCAGGATTGTCTTCACCAAGTGTAGCTGAAGAATCAGAATGCAGTGTACAGGGTAGAGTGGAATATTAAGAAATGTCAGATGTACACACAGTTTTCTGGTGGGCCCAGAAAGCTCAACGTAATTTCTTTCTTTTTTTCTATTTTAATAGTGCTTTTAAAACTATATAGCTAGGGGGGAACTCCAAAAAAATAAATCTTTGCTTCTTGATCCAAATAGAAATGTTTTTAAACTTTTGTAAGTTCCCAGGTTTAGAGCTCTTGCTCTCAGTACATTCTTGGAATTAAAAAAGTCTAAAGTTTGGCATTAGATTTCCTCTTCTCTAAAATAAAATTTGTTTTCTCAGGGAACTGTTCACTTCAGCTTTGTATTTAAACACAATACAGTTAAACACAACTGATTGTTATGTAGATTTGTGTTAAATCATCTTTTCTAAAAAATAATTTCGTTTTGCTCCTATTTACAACCTAATTGACAAACTAGGCCAATCATGTCGCCCAACATCTATTTTAAAAGAAGGTGAATAAACGTGTAAGGCACAATTAAACCCTTTCTGATAAGAGGAATAATTTGTTTTAAGTATTTTAATATCACTTTTTCTTTCAAGAATAGGTTCTAAAATCCTTTACAAGCAAAGAAGCAATTTATGTGCTGTTGATTTTTTTTTTTTTTTTTGTAAGTGTTTTTCAGAGATGAATGGATGCTGGCACTTGCGTTACTTAAAATGTGGTTAGTGTCGAAAGGCCAAATGTTGAGCAAATAACCACTCATGTTAAGTAAATTGCCAAAAGACATATCGTAACAAGTAGTCTGTAAGAAATGCACAGCTTTTTTGATTCATTAGAATAATGGGAATGCTTTTTATTAGTATTTGTGGAATACCTTCTAGTAGAGAAATTGTAAAATGTTAGGAGGAATTGTTTTTTTTTTTTTTTTTTTTTTTTTT